AGCCTGTGTCAGGTGCACCTTAGTCCTCAAAGTGACCCATTCGGTCTTAAACACTTTGAGGAGGTCTTTTGCAGCAAATTTGCCCAATGCGATAATACGTCACTTGATTTCTTGATGGCTGCATCCATGGGCATTGACTGTGGATCCTCAGATACAGGGGTTGTTGTTCTTGTCATGTGCCGTCGAGTTGGACCCGACTCATAGCTGTACAGGGGTTAGCATTTATTATTACTATTATTTTCCATTTTAAAAAAAATAATAATTACTTTTTAAAAAATTGTGACTTGGGTGAAAGTTGACAGAGAAAATTTCCATTCAACAATTCATCCACATTTTGTTTTGTGACATTGACTGCGGTCCCCACGGTGTAACGGACCTCTTCCCACTTCCTGTGTTCCTGCTGCCCTTTGCCCTTCGCCCTTCTTTCCCATCCCTGCCTGCCTTCTGACCTTTCCCCCTGGGCAAATGCCGCCCTTTTGAGTTCGTCGGGTTGCTTGTTCCAAGGTGGTACTGCTCACCTTATGGACTTGTCTATTGTTTGGCAAAGTCGACCCACAAGAGTTCCAGGCTTGGTGTCTGAGGGACTGTGCTGGTTCCCTGGTGCCACTCTGACAGGAATATGCCACAAATGGGGTGGCCTTAACAAACAGGAGTTTATTCTTACAATTTAAGTCCGAGTTCAAAGTGCCAGGCTCTAGGGGCTGGGTGAAAGCCCCTCAACCTTGGGGTCCAGCTCTGCCTCCTGCTCCCGGCCCACTGGAGCTAGAGGCGTTTCTTCACTCAGACAGCTGCTGGCTGCTGAGGCTGAGAAGCCCCAAGGTTGACAAGTCAAAAGGCACAGTCCCGATGCTACCAAATCGCACGGCAGGCTGTTAACTTAAGTCCATTGTAAGTCCCAGGGTCGGCAGAGCATGGCAGGCTGCTGAGCAATGACACAGCTACACGCAGGGTCCAAGCGTGCCACAGGCTAGAGACCATTCCCAAGGCTTCAGCTTATATACGGGAAGCAGACCACATCCCAAAGGCAGCTACTCAACTGCTTGTGGTGGATCCCACCACAGAGTTGATTGCCAGTCTCATCATGGGGGATAACTCCCACCAGCTGCCCAGCCACTCACCCAGGCCCAGCCAAGCTGACACGCAAACATGACCATCACAGCGACTTTCATCACCACCCTGCCCAAACCTTACCTCCCCTCCCATTCTTCTGTGATAGCACATTGTTTCCTGCTTAGCGGAGTTGGTAATTGCATCCTTGCTCTGTCCACCATTGGATCTCGAGCACCTAGCAGAGTGACAGGCACCTGAGGCTCCCACATTCCGGGGTCCTCAGTCAGGAGGGGCAGGAGATCTGGACGCCTGCGTCGCAGAGGGGGAGGGAGTTAAGGGCTTAAGAAACTCGGATGCAGCTCTGGCTTTTCCTCTCCTTGTCTTTGTCTTCTAGGTCCCACCCTGGGCCCCGGGGCCATCGCTGGCACCGTCCTGGGTTCCCTCCTGGGCCTGGCGCTCCTGGTGGCACTTCTCCTCCTGTGTATCTGCTGTTTGTGCCACTTTGGAGGTGAGTGAGGGCCCTGGTGAAGTGGCAAGTACTGCCACGTTACCCGGGAGAGTCACTAAGAGGAAGCTTGTCAGAAGACCTGGCTGAACCAATCAGCGCAGGCATAAGTCGTCTGTCCCGCCTTCTTCAGCTCCATTATCAGCCAATTGCAGTCAGGCTCTACCTCTGAGACCAGCATCCCTTGCCATTGGCTGGGCCCTATGAGGGACCTGTTTGAGCAGCCAGTCACGTATTCCTGTTTCTTTTCCTTCTCCCTCTCTCTCAGAAAAGACTCTTAAGAAAAAGAAGCCTCCTACTTTGACCCCTGTGGTCATCCAACCAGAAAAGACGCCCCAGAGTGTGACCCCAGAGCAGCCCGCACTGCCTCTGCCCCTCAAAGTGGATCCTAGTCCAGCCAGGACCCACCAAGTGAGTGCGGGTGCCTCAGTTTCCTTCCTCAAGGGCCTTCTTC